CCATGGCCATTTTTGTCTCTCCTTCTGTCTGTCCCCAGCCAGTGCGGCTGGGCCGGCTGCCACGGGGCCAGGCTTCTACCTGGGCGTTTCTCCCAGCCTGGCATGGCCAAGGGGCGGGGCTGGGGGCCCCGTGTTCCTGCATAGAGCCCAAGCCTGGTGGGCTGAAGAGGGGCCCCACCTGGAGACACAGGCCCAGGGGAGAGCAGTGGGTGCAGCAAGAGCCTTTCTACTTCTCTGACAGGATGCTTCCTGTGTGGCTGGCTTTAATGTGCAGTTGGGAGGACATTGAGGGACTGGTCCTGCTCTGCTGGGACACGGAGGCGAGGTGGAAGGCTGAGTGTGTTTGAGGTAGACCTGTTTTAATGATCTGTTGCACGTGAGACCTCATTATGTCTGCAGAGTGCCTGCAAGTGGGCGTACAGAGACCCTCGGGCTCTGGTCCTGGACCCTTGGCTGTGCCATGTCCGCTCCCCAGGTGACTTGGGAACCAGGATAGCTCCTTTTCCAGCCCAGCATGCCCATGTCACCCAGCTCCCTAGCCATTGGCCAGGATGTCCCTGGCCCCTACATCCTTGTGGGTGGGAAGCCACGGCACCTGTGTCTCTGTCCGTGGGGTTGGGTTGGGAGCACTCAGTAGGTAACAGCAGTGCTGGAGGTCAGCCAGTGAGGGGAGCCGAGTTCTGAACCCTGGCGTGGCAGGCCCAGTGGGTGCTCCTTGCTGCGCTCTGCATGGCCCCCGTTGCCGGTGTCCTTGATGTTGGTGTGGTGACAGCAGGGCCATCTCCTTCTTCAGCTGCCTACCCCCCACCGTAGCTTATGTCCCCAAATGCCCAGAGTACCCCGAGGGGGGAGGAGCCTCAGCGTTGTCATCTGTGAGTGGACACGGTCGCTCTGACCTCTGGTCACACGGGGGTGAGACTTGTGGCCATGGGTGGCCACTCAACCATACTTCTTGGTGTTTTTGCCACGCCAGCTCCCACCGGCCTGACCCCGGAGGGCAGCAGTGAGGGCCGGGCCCGAGGGTGGCGGGGCCATCACAGGGGGCGAGGCATGAGGTGGGTGCTGGACACGTCGCAGGGAGGGGCTCTTCCTGAGGACACCCAAGGATCACAGGGCGCTCTGGGCGTCTGGGGAGACAGGTGGACCCCCTGAGAGCTGGTGTTGTGTGACTCCACGGCAGCCGTACCTCACACCGTTTGGAACCCCATGTCGCTCTGCACTCTGTCCCTTACTGTCGGTTCATGGCTGGCCCTGTGAGAGGGTCGGCTAGTGGTCTGTTTCAGTTTTAATTTATTTCTGGAAGCAGCGTTTGCTTCCCGGTCTCAGCACGCAGCCCTGAGCCCGCCCAGACCGGGGAGGCTGAGGGACGCAGTGTGGGTCTGCGTGTCGCCCGGCTGAGTGGCAGGAGCCGTGGGTGGCATGCCTTGGTTCCTGTTTGCCTCTGTGCTTTGCACTGACAGGTGGGCTCTGTCCGGGCGATCTGGGTGTGGCCACCTGCATCCCAGGGGCTGGCAGTGCTGCTGAGCGCAAGTCCCTACTTTGGACTCATGGTGGTCCTAGGATTTCCCTTTCAGGGAGCGCGCTGGGCTGCTCAGCCCTCCCCCTGACCCCCGGGCAGCGCGTCCCCAGGCCTCGGAGGAGGAGAAACAGAAGCTGCAAACACTTGGCCGTTGACCGAATGCAGGGTTGGGTTGGTTTGTGCTTGAGCAGATTTTCAAACTAGAAATAACTTTGCACGCTTTTCCTTTCGCGAAACAAGCCTGTTCCGGACACAACCTACCTGTTCAGAAACGCAAGCGAGGGCGAAAGCCCCTGTCCTTGTGGGCTGGCGTGCGTGGCGTGGGCTTGGTGCCTGCCGGCTGTGGGCCCCCAGGAGGCCCTTTTCTGTCCACTGCCTCCCGCCAGGGGCTTCCCAAGGTGGCCTGTGGCTCTCCTGCGTGCTCGGCAGTGTCTGTCACACTACTCTCTGGCTTGGAGAAGCATCCGGGGGAGAAAGGCAAGGCCAGCTTTCACCGTAGCTCGGCTTGTCCTGGACCTGCCATCCCGCTGTGTTTTGGGCAGAGGACTGACCCCCAGGTCTGGCCTCTGTCTGAAAGATGATGGTGTGCGTGCTCCTGCAGGGACACGACCACTCACTCTGCCTGCCACCCCACAGGGGACAGTGCTCGGTGACCTGTGCAGTTTTATGCCGGGGGAGCCTCTCTGAGCGTCTTCCCTCCCCGGGGCGGCTCACAGGGGTCAGGCTCTCTGACCGTCCCCTTGCTGGTCTCCTGAGAGGTGGGTCCTGGCATCTGGGATGGCAGGGCTTGTGAGGGGCCCCCAACCCCTTATGCTCTGGCTGCCCCCACCCCCACCCCGAGGAGCTGGTGCCTGGGCTGCTGGGCTCTGAGGGAGGGAGAGGGCTGGACACTGCCACCCTGAGAGCACGCCACGAGCCCTGCGGCCGTCCCCAGGTGTTTGCAGGGGTCTGGGTGGGGGAGGGAGGTCCCGCCCTGTTTCAGCGGAGTGTTTGCCGAAAGGGGGTGGGCTCCTTACCGTCAGTCCGGCAGAGTGTGGGCACCCGTGTGCTGGAGACTGCCCAGCCCTTTCTGCACGTGTCTCCTTAGAGCCTCACGGACTCTGCCGGGGTGGGTGATGTCGAGCTGGAGGCAGGCTTCGCTTTGGGCCACTGTGGAAGGACTCCTGTGGCCTGTAGTGACCGCTGGCCGTCAGGGAGCATGTGCCAGCCCCAGGCACTCTGCTCAGAGCTCCAGCAGTGCGGTCTGGGTTCCCCTGGCAGTGGTGGGCAGTGGCGGGGAGGGGTTGGGCTGGTGTGCAGTCTGGGGTCCCATCAGTGGTGGGCAGTGGTGGGCGGGGGATGGGCTGGTGTGCGGTCTGGGGTCCCATCAGTGGTGGGCAGTGGTGGGCGGGGGATGGGCTGGTGTGCGGTCTGGGGTCCCCTGGCAGTGGTGGGCAGTGGGGGGGGGAGGGAGTTGGGTTGGTGTGGGGTCTGGGGTCCCCTGGCAGTGGTGGGCAGTGGTGGGCGGGGTTGGGCTCATTTGTGGTCTGGGGTCCCCTGGCAGTGGTGGGCAGTGGCGGGGGGCTGGTGTGTGGCAGAGTCCAGGAAGCCCCTCCAAGCACCTGGCTCAGCCTTGTGGCAGCTGATGTGCTGCCCCCGGGCACTTACCTCAAGACAGGTTTGGGGATGCATTCCTGTGTTTGTGGCCAGAGCTGGCTTCCTCTCAGCCACACGTTTGGAGCGGTGGCCAGAGCTGGAGGAGGGAGGCCGTGGGGCAGGCCTCAAGTCCTGCTGGCAGCCTGAGCCTGTCCCTGCACTGAGCATGCCTGCCCGTCTTCATGCTTGGAGGAGGCCAGCCTGCACTTTGGCTCATGCACCTCAGCAGCAGCAGGTGCTAGGTGCTGGGCACCCATCCACCTGCCGGACACGTAGGGAGGGCAGGCCACAGGGGAGATCCCCGCAGGCAGTGGCGGTGCTCAGGCCAAGTTTGCACTTGCTGGCCTGCTGGGGGTGGGGCAGCGGGGTGTGAGGGTTGACCCTGCTTTGCTCCAGGCTCCCACGGCTTTCTGGTGGTGAAGACCCACCCTCAGTGCCATTAGTGTGAGCTGGCACAGCGCTGCCCCCACTGAGCAGCTGGTGGCGGCCGTGGGCACTGTGCTGCCCGTGCCATGGCCCCACCTTGGCGAGAGGGAGAAGCGGGAGAGGGGCCAGCTCGCCCGGGAGGGTGTGGAAGAGGGGAGCGGCTGTGGCTTCCCTGGGTTTCCCGGGGTGATGGGCGTGGCATCTCGAGGGGGTTCCAGGGTGTCCCTTGAATGTGGAGCAGGTCTTGGTGGGCGAGACGCACCTGCTGTCTGCTTGAACCCTTTTCACTCTGGTTGGAGTGGTTTGTAGCAAGCGCCAATTACTTTGGTGCAAACACGCCCACTTGGCAGGTGGCAAGCTACCAACAGGATGTTAACCAGCTCACGAGATTCTCAAAGCTTGAACGATCTGCTGTGCAAGTCGTAAGAAGGCTGGCTGATTCCAGCGCCCCCATGTTCTGCTCTCTGTCCCCCAGCTCCGTCTGGCCCCTCGTGCTGTGGGCGCTGCCACTGAGCCCCAACCTATCTGTATATCGTGACAAGGACACATAACACAAAGTCTGGCAGGGCACACAGACACGGCCTGGTGTTCTTATTCCACGTGCGGCCCCCAGTCTGCTCTGGGCCCTACAAGTAAAAGTGGGGCCAGCAGCTTCTGTCCAGGAAACAGTGGGGCTTCAGATGTCGGGACTGGCCTGTTGGTTCTGGGGCGTAGTTGGTCATCTTCCTTCCCAGCCGTGAGCCTGGCCAACATTCCTGAAAGCTGGTGGGGGATGCATGAGGTCTGCAGCAGGCCCGCATTTGCTGAGAGCCAGGGTGAGGTGCACCTCCTCCTGCCCGCCCCTATTGGCCTGGGGCTGGGCGTGTCACACCTTGGCTCATCATCACAAAACCAGCTCTGGTTCTCATGGTTACATCGGAACCTCGCCCCAAAGGGGCCCAGCTCCGCACGCCTCGCGTGGTTCCACAAACGCCCTGCCTGCCCAGCTCAGCTCTGTGGGGTTGATGCCGGAGCGCTCTCTACGTGTGCATCATTCCCCCAAAATTGCCACGATCAAGAACAGCCTGAGTCAGCCCCCAGTAGGCAGGCAGTTGGTGGGCAGTGAGCCAGGAGAGGCCGTGTCCTGGGCCCCCGCCCCCCACCGTTGGCTGTGTGCCTGGACCGCCACCTTCCCGCCCTTGCGTTACCCGCCCTTGCCCAGGCGGCCCGTGTTCACGTCACGTCCCTGCCCCAGCTTGAGAGCAGTAGTTAGAGAGTGGGTCCGTGACAGGTGAGGGCTGGGCTGAGCAGGGCGAGTGGCGTGAGTGACGTGAGCTGGCCTCACTGTGACCACTCGGGTGTGCTCGGGAGCCCACGAGGCTGGGAGAGGTGGTGGGGCCTGGGTGACTGGCCTGTCTCTGCCGTCCCTCCTCCCCTGTAGGTGCTGCCCGGTTGGGCCCAGAAATGGGATGTCAGGCCTCCGAAAGGAGCATAGTGGAAGCGAGGGCCTCGAGCGGCTGCTGTGACGGCCAGTGAGTGAGCCGCGGAGGATGTCCACCACGACGACGGTCGCCCCTGCGGGGATCCCGGCAGCCCCGGGCCCGGTGAACCCGCCCCCGCCGGAGGTCTCCAACCCCGCTAAGCCCGGCCGCAAGACCAACCAGCTGCAGTACATGCAGAATGTGGTGGTGAAGACGCTCTGGAAACACCAGTTTGCTTGGCCCTTCTACCAGCCCGTGGACGCAATCAAGCTAAACCTGCCTGTGAGTGCCCCCCCCCCCCGCTGGCATCCCTGCCCCTCCCCTACCCACTGGCATCCCTGCCCCCCTGTCGCCCCCCTCCTGGAAGGACTGCCCCTGGGCCCAGGCAGCTGTGGTGCCGGTAAGCCAGGCACGGCACAGGGCCTGTGGTGACCGAGGAGCGGAGGGGCTCCTCGGGTGTGGGAGTGTGGAGGGCGGTGGTCCCCAAATGTAGGGAGCGGGGGAGAACCTGTGCCTCCCTGCTGTTCCTGTGTACCCTCCTGTAGAACCATGCCTCTGACCCCTGTTGCGGTCAGATGCTCAGGGCAGGTTGTGGCCCTCTTTCCAGGCGAAGCTGCCCATCTGCCCCTTCAGTGCTGGCCCAGTCTTCTCATGGGTTTCTTATTTGGACCCAAATAGAGAAACCCCCAGTGTTGCCTGGGGAAGCCCTGGGCCACTAGTTGGTGGCCTGGGTTCTCGGCACAGCTCAGTACTGGTCACCGGCGGGCCCTGGGTTTGGAGTCTGAGAGGGGGCTCGGCCCCCTCACCACAGTGCCGATCAGCTCTGGGGCCTGCCCCAGCTGCCCAGTTCCGTGCATCTCTAAGAACCGCCTGTCCATGTGGAGCCTGTCGGGCGAGAGGTGTGGCAGGGGTTGGAAGTGGGCCGGGTGCTTGCCCTAGACTCTGCACCTGCCCTCAGCTGACCAGACACTGCCTTTGGCCTGACCCCGGTGCCCAGCTCACCCGAGAAGACGCTCCGTGTGCAATCGCCCTCCTCGGGGACGGCGAACACAACGCCTCAGAATCTGCTGATGATGCCTCTGAAAATCTCTTTCCCAGGATTATCATAAAATCATAAAAAACCCAATGGATATGGGGACTATTAAGAAGAGACTAGAAAATAATTATTACTGGAGCGCGAGCGAATGTATGCAGGACTTCAACACCATGTTTACAAATTGTTACATTTATAACAAGGTAAGAAAGCACCTGAGGCATGGCTCCCCGAGTGCCGAGGGGACCCTCTGGCCGGGCCTGGGCTCTGTGGTGGCTCTCAGACGGGGGGGCGTGTCACCCCCAGGCTCCAGTCCCCACTCTGGGGTCCCATGTGCTGTCCACACCCCCCCGGGGGGGGAGTGAAGCCCGAAGCAGCCTTTGTGGGGGGGCCTTATGTATCAAACGCTTTAACTGTTTGTGCCCTCGGACCTCGAAACTCCAGCTGTCGGGACAGTGCTGGGGTCAGCGTGGGCTCATGGGGCAGAGCTGCAGCGTGCACACGCATGGCGACCGGAGGGCAGCCGAGCGCACCGTGACATCCACCTGCAGCCGCCCCACGTGGCCAGGCCACTGCATGACCAGGGAGCATGTGTTCACGATGGTTTTTAGCAAGAAGATGGTTTTAGCGAGAAGAGTAGATTAGGGAAGGTCCACGTGGTCCTGACTTGGTGGGGTTTTTGTTGTTTTCCGATCGCGACAGGATATAGCAAAGATGAATTGAGTTGAACTGAGTGGAAGGTTCTGTTTTCTGCACGGGATAGGCCAAAGGGTGATTCTTGTTCTTGGTTTTCTGAATTCTTTCAAGAGTCCCCACAGTAAAATAAGGTCCTTTCGCCTCCCCCATCGCCTGCCCTACCAAATCTCTGAACGGATTTTTGAATAAATGTTTTCTTGAGCCACAACCGGTGATGTGTTTGCAAGCACGTGGCCCCTTGCCCAACAAGTGACCTTGGCTCTCCCTGTGTCTTCAGCCCACAGATGACATAGTGCTAATGGCCCAAGCCTTAGAGAAAATTTTTCTGCAGAAAGTGGCCCAGATGCCCCAGGAGGAAGTTGAATTATTACCCCCTGCTCCGAAGGGCAAAGGCCGGAAACCGGCTGCAGGAACCCAGAGTGCAGGTAACGGGGTGGACGGTGCCGTCCTTCTGTCCTGACACCCCGCCCCCCGGGACATGACAACAGCATTTCTTGTGCGGGTCTCGGCCCCTCTGAGCTCAGTGTCCCTGTCTGTGAAGTTGGGGCGACACGGCTGGCTCTTGGTGGCGTTGTTACCATCTGCCTTTGAGCCTACTCTGGTGGGGAGACTGGTCTTGCTGTGCCCGCGTGCAGAGGCCACCTCTTCCAGAAGTCTAGATGGGAGGTCCTTTTGTCCCCCTAGGACGTTGCCTCTCTAGCTGGTATTGTATGCTCTGGGACAGGAGAGGGGCTGTGTCACCCGTGAGGGAGGGTGGTGGGGATGAGGATTAGCACTAGGAGCCCTGGGGGTCTTACCTGGTCCAGGAACAGGGAATAGAGGTGCGCCCCGATGGAGAGACTGGCCCAGCTCCCCAGCCCTCGAGGAGGCTGCGGTGGGTCACCACCAGTGCCAGCCACCCCGCTTTGCAGATAGGACCGTGGGTGGTTAAGTAGCTCTGCCCAGGTCACTCAGCTGGTTATTGGTGGAGTCTGAGTTAACCCCCGGTTTCTCGGGCCCAGGCCTCGCTCTCCCTTCCAGGCTGCACCTTGTGCAGGCTTCCTCATTCAGACTCTGGTCTCTGGCCAGAGGGAGGGTCTTTCCTTTGTTGGATGAGCGCCTGTGGAGGCTGGTTCCATGGAGGCAGCCACGGTGCAGGGCCAGGGGTCTCAGGAGGAGGGGCTCCCCGGCACTGATGTGCTCTGGCTGGACGGGATGGTTCAGGAAGCTTCCGGAAGCCAGCTGGCAGGTAGAGCCTGGTGTGTTCAACGTCCTTTCCTTGTCTTCAAGGTACACAGCAGGTGGCGGCTGTGTCCTCTGTCTCCCCAGCAACCCCCTTCCAGAGCGTCCCCCCCACTGTCTCCCAGACGCCTGTCATTGCTGCCACCCCAGTGCCAACCATCACTGCAAACATCACGTCGGTCCCCGTTGCCCCGGCTGCTGCCCCACCTCCTCCCTCGACGCCCATCATCCCTGTGGTCCCTCCCACACCACCTGTAGTCAAGGTGAGTGACCCTGGGGACAAGGTCAGCTGGCTGTCCCATCACCAGGCCGGGTTCCTGGATTTGGGCAGGTGTGGGGCGGGCACCTGTCCCTGGGCACCGACTTCTCATCGGGTGTTTGGAACACGTGACACTGGAGTGATTCTCTCTGTGCCCATGAGGTTGGGCTGTTGCCCCTAACGCAGGCGGGGAGACCGAGGCTCAGGGAGCTGCAGGTCACACAGCTGGTGAGGGTGCCCTGCTCTGAACCCCAATTTCTCTGGCCCGGAAGCCCTGGCCTTCGCAGGGCATGGGTCACTGAGCGGGAGGAGGGTGGAGGGGTCCCGGAGCCCCCCTGCTCACATGTGGATTTAGGGCAGCAGCCTGGTGCACGGTGAGGAGCCAGTGCCCGCGGCCTGCACTGTGCGCCCCTGCTCGCGTGAGCTCCAGCACGTCCGTCTCCCCAGTGTGTGGCTGGGCACTTTCATGGCAGGGACCGTCCTGGCCGGGTCTGGGCTCAGAGCCCGTGCTCCTTGTGAGATCCGGGGCAGGCCCCGTGCCGGGTGCTGATGTGTGTTGTCTTCCGTTTGCCCCTCGCAGCGGCCCTGTGGGCCAGACAGTATTTCCCCCATCTTACAGATGAGGAAGCAGGCGCTCGGGGGGGTTAAGTGGCCCCCCCCAAGGTAACACGCCCCCGCCATTGCTTTCCCTCCCCCGTGGCCTTCACTGCCTGCACTTCCGGGCGGCACCGGGCCAGGCTGCCTTACACCGTGCCCGGCTGGTTTTGGAGCATGTCCTGTTTGCCATGGCCGGGTGAGCTCCCCCCGGGCCTCTGTGGCACACGCTTGGTGTCCTGTGGGTGCCCACACGTGTTTGTGGATAGCCAGCTCGTGCCCTGACAGCCTGGGGGCGGCGGCTTGGCTGGGGCAGAGACCTGGTGGCGGCCCAGAGAGCAGGTCGCTATGAGGCCGTCAGCCTGGGCGGTGCGGCTCCGAGGGGCCCCTCTGCCAGTCTGAGAGGTCTGCGAGGCGGGGAGCTGGCTGAGCTGGTCTCGGGGACGTGCTGAGCCTGGGCTGCACAGCGCACCGTGATGCCCGTGGGCGCCCGGGCGCGGTGCCAGAAGAGACCCGCACGGTCCAGGACCCACGGGTATTCCCCACGTTCTCACCCTCGGGGCACAGCCCGTGTGAGTGTCTGCCCTCTGCACACCCACAAGGGGCTCTGCGGACCATTTTAACATTCCCTCCCCTTGTGGACAGCAGCTCTCTCTGGCTCCCTCTGCCTTCAGGGTTCCAGTCCAGACCTGCCCAGTCAGCCCCCGGGAGCCCTTGCTCCCACACCCACCGCTGCTGCCCTGCCCCAGCCCCGCATGCTCCTCCTGCTCCTGGCCTCGGCCCGCTCCACGACGGCTGTCATCGGAGCTCCAGCTTGGAGGCCCTCATCTGGGCCTTTCCCACTGGCCTTTCTAAGCAGGGATTTCTGTGCGTCTCTGCTGTCCCTTAGCCTGGGTCCTGCTTGGGGATGATCCTAGCGCCAGGTCCACCTCGGTCATGTTGTCTCTGGAGCCCCCCACATGGGCCTGAGGTTCGACGCAGGTGACTTGCATGCCACACCTCACAGTGCTCGGGCGTCACCTCGGAGCCCTGGGGGCAGGCGGAGGGGACTCTCGTGGGGCGGCTTGGGGGGTGGGTTCTGAGTCCAGCCTTCCCACTACCAGCTGTGTGACCTTGGGCCTGAGACGTGGCCCCTCTGAGCCTCGGTGTCCTGCGTGGCGCGGGAGGGCAGCCAGGGGGACAGGCGTGGCTGTGCATGCCGTCGCTTTGCTCGGCGCCTGGCGGAGAGCGCTCTGGAAGCGCAGCTGCAAGCGTTCACGTTCTCGCGCCCCGTGCTCGGTCCTGGGGCTCACCGGTTGTCTCGCTGTCGCAGAAAAAGGGCGTGAAGCGGAAAGCAGACACCACGACGCCCACAACGTCCGCCATCACTGCCAGCCGGAGCGAGTCGCCCCCGCCACTGTCAGACCCCAAGCAGGCCAAGGTGGTGGCACGGCGGGAGAGCGGGGGCCGCCCCATTAAGCCGCCCAAGAAGGACCTGGAGGACGGCGAGGTGCCGCAGCACGCGGGCAAGAAGGGCAAGCTGTCGGAGCACCTGCGGCACTGTGACAGCATCCTCAAGGAGATGCTGTCCAAGAAGCACGCGGCCTACGCCTGGCCCTTCTACAAGCCGGTGGACGCCGAGGCCCTGGAGCTGCACGACTACCACGACATCATCAAGCACCCGATGGACCTCAGCACCGTCAAGGTACCGTGTGGCGGGGGCTCGGGGCGCGTGCGGGCCGCCCCCTCTGCCGTCGTCCAGGCTGTGTGCTGGCTGGGGGGCTGCTCAGCATGGCGCAGGCGCATGGCCCGCTGCTGGCATGGGTCCGGCCGCGTCTGGGACGAAGGTGCATTCTGCCTGTCGTCACTGAACCTGGGGCCTCGCGGTCCTTCGTTCCGCTGGAATCTGTCTCCTGTCTCAGTGTGCGGGTTTTGTGACGTCCGCAGGGACGCCCTTTCGGGTGACCCACCCCGCCCTGGCCAGAGAGGGGCCCTGGAGCAGGGGAGGTAGACTCGAGACCCAGAGCCTGGGCTCCCCGGGCCTCCCGGGCCAGGGGCTCCTCCCTGGGCCTCAGTGGGTTTTGTTCTGGGTCCGGCCCATTGTGTCCAAGCAGAGAGCAGGCTTGTGCTGGGCCGTGAGCGAGAAAGTGCCCGGGCGGCAGTGACCCCAAGGGCAGCAGACCCAGGGCTGCCATGAACTCCCAGGGGGTCTTCCCTGAGCACACGCAGGTGGGGTTCCTGACCCCCCGATCGGCTGGGGCCCCAGCACACATGCCCTCCCTCAGGTAGCGCTCTGAGCCAGCATGGTGTTGATCTCTGGCCCCTTCAGGAATGCCCCTGGCCACTGGGGACTGTAGCCCACCTCCCCTGTGAACTGGCATTCTGCCTGGTTTCCCAGTGATGCCAGCCTGGGGCAGAATCTCCATACTGGAGCCTCCCCCCTGGGGTGCTTGGGGGTTTCGGGCAGGACAGACCTTGCTGTGTGGGTTGGTGGTGCTGGGTGAAGCACGTGGGGGTCCGAGCCTCTTCCTTGGATACCTTCCGTCCTGCCCCTGCTGGGAGCCTAGTAACGTTCTTTCCTTTGGATGGTGTTTTATCCCTGTGAGTTGGCGTGAGTAGAGAACAAATGGAAAGATTCCAGCAAAGCAGAGGTGGGAGGAGGGCAGAGTGCACCGTTGCCCCTCTTTCCGGGGAGGATTCCTAACCGTGGTCTGGATTTGCTCTCGCCTGAGGCCTGCTTTCTCCTAGCCGGTCTTGACCATGGGGCAGTGGGTGGAACGGGGCTCCCAGGCCAAGTCCGAGGCCGAGCTCTCCCTGCTCAGGGTCTGTGGGGTCCTGGCTCTGGGCCAGCAGTGGGTGGCTGTGCGCCCATTCGGCCTCCGCACACAGTGTCCTGGCTGGGATTTGGGGTGGTGGGGGGTAAAGGGGCTAGGCCTTTGCACGTACCCTGGTGTTTCGAGATGGGGAAGCTGAGGCTGGAGGGCCCGCCCCGAGTGAGCTGCTGGTGGAGCCAGTCCCGGAATCCACGTCTTTGACTCTTGGGGCCTCGAGCCGAGCCGGCAGAGCTCATGTCACCCAGATGAGGGTGACTCTCGCTGTGCCCTTCGGAATCCCCAGAACTCTCGGGAGGCCAGTGAGACCAGTGACTTGTACGTGCCACACTGCCAGGGAGCGGCTGAGTGGGGAGGCTGCCCGGCCCTGGTGTGCTGGTGGTGCACCTGCAGGCTGAGGCCGCGTCCTCTGGGCTACCGAGCGGGGGCCGCATGCACGCGGCGGTTTGCTCTGGCCTTCCCCTTCAGAAACACCCGTCGTCTGCGAAACAGTGAGGAACGACACACAGCTGCCCGACTGTCCGTGGGCACCCCACGTGCACTTAACGTGTAGCCTGTGTGTTCCCAGCCCCCGCCCCCCGCCCCACTGGGAGAGCCGCCAGTGGTCAAGTTAGGACCAGAGTCTGAAAATCTGGCAGGGGTTGAGAAGGTCTCGGGTGCCCGTTTGTCCTCCCTAGCTGGGCCTCCCCAGAGTAGGGAGGCTGTGCTGAGGGCTGGAGCCATGCAGCCTGGGAGCTGTCAGAAGCTCTGTGACTGGCGGGGGTGCGTACCCAAGGCACTAGAGAGGCTGTGGGCCCCGGAGTTGGGCTGCACTCAACCTGCCAGCGTCCAGGTCTGTGTAGGTGCGAGCGAGACCCACACTGTCCTCCAGGGGTGCATGGTCCCCAGGAGAGCGGGCGCCCCCCACCGACAGGCGGTCCCTGACTGACAGCTTCTACTTGAACCCGTGCAGACACAGGGAGCTCGCTGCCTCACCAAGCAGTTCCCCTCCATGTGCCCTGACTGGCAGCTTGTTCTAAGTGCCACTTCGCGGTGTCTGTCAATGGTCGTGCTTCTGTCCTCCCCGTGAGCGGGCGTGTTGTCTTACCCCCACCAACCCCACCTTGTCCTGCTGGGTTGCGAGCGTCAGGCTGGCCAACAATGCCTGGATTCTCACAGCGATGAAGTCAGTGTCTCGATCCGCGAACTGAGGAGACCCCCGCGCCCCCGCCCCGAGTTGGCAGCAAGTTTACCGGAAGCTCCCTGTTCGCCCTGGAGCTCCTCCCGTCAGGGACTTCTCTGTGTATAAAGCTACGGGGCGTGTAGGGCTGGAAGCTATAGAGCAAGGAGAGGTTACGTGGCGGCCGCGGGAGCCAGGGTTCAGGCCGCCTCCCTGGGGGTCCCGGAGCCTCTCTTCCGAGCCCTCAAGTCCCGCGCCCATGCAGTCCCTCGGGGCTCCCGGGGACAAGGTCTGGGGCTGGCCGTGGATGGTGGTTGTGTGGTGGTGTGAGGTGCTGCATGCGGGGCCTGGCTGGGCCCTGGGGTGCTGGGCAGCGCCCCTCACCCCCGCCGCTTGTGTGTTGCAGAAGAAGATGGACAGCCGTGAGTACCCAGACGCGCAGGGCTTTGCTGCCGACATCCGGTTAATGTTCTCCAACTGCTACAAATACAACCCCCCAGACCACGAGGTGGTGGCCATGGCCAGGAAGCTCCAGGTAACCGGAGGCGCTCTCAGGCAGAGGGGCCTTCGGGGCACGGGGGGACCAGCAACCTGGGCAGGTGCCCAGGAAAGACCGGCCTCCTGGAGAATATACAGCTGCGAAGGCCGTGGGAGAGCCTCACCTGCACAACGCCTTTCTCCTGAGCGGTGCCCGGCGCTGGCCAGGCCCCAGGCCTGCTTCCCGGGCACACGGTGGCGGACAGTCCAGCCTCTGTCCCCCGGGAGCTGCAGGCACACGTTCCCGTGGGGAGGGGGAGGATGAGAGGGCAGGGGTCCCTCCTCCCGCAGCTCCAGTCTCTGTGCGAGGGAGCCTTTGTCACGGGCCTGCCAGTGAGCCCGGGCACCTGACGCTTGCGTGTGACCTTCTGTCAAAAGTCTGGGTGCTGCCCGCCTAGTTCTGTGTGGGTCAGTGCGCTCTCCTTACGACAGACACTGGTGCTTTTATAAATGACAGCACCAAAACGTTAAAGGTTTTTTTTAAATTTTAGAGAGAACGTGAGCACAAGTGGGGGAGGGGAAGGGAGAGGGAGAGAGAGAATCTCCAGCAGACTCCTCGCTGAGCACGGAGCACAACGTGGGGCTCGATCTCACCACCCTGGGATCATGACCTGAGCCAAAATCAAGAGTCCAACACTTAATCGACTGAGCCACCCAGGTGGCCCAACAGCACCAAAATTTTAAATGTTATGTAATTGGAAGACTTTTTTTTGGAGGAAAGAGTAAAAATTGTGGATCTCTACTCTCTTCCAGCAGTTTTTTTTTTTATCCCCATAATGCAGGCTATTTGTTGTATGAGCTGTTCCTAATCTTTTACTCAGAACCCTTTGAAAACCCCATAAAACAGCTCATGGTGTCACCCTTGGCCACCCAGGATCCAGAGGAGGGAGGAGAGAGAAGCTGTCTTTTGTGCTGCTGGGTCCTCCTGTGTTGAGTGGGCCTTTCCCAGGTTCTGCTAATGCAGGCTGTGCCCTCCGTGGACCGGCTCCCCTTGGGAGTATGGTGCCCAGTCCCGCTGGTCCCAGGATGCCCAGAAGCCAGCAGGATCTGTGGTTTAATGCTCAGACCACGCCCCACTGTGTCTGGGAGCAAAAAGGCTCTGCACGGTTCTACTCCGTGTTTACTCTGTGATGCTCCCGAACCTGGTAAACTCCTGGTACAGCTTAATGAGAAAGCCAGGCGGGGCTGGTGCAAATCGGGTGTGGAGGCCAGTGGCTCTGGTTCCGTTCCTGCTAAAGCTGGTTCTCGGCAGTCTGGCCACAGGGGCTGCGAGTCACGATTCCCAGTGCACTGAGCAGTCATGCCAGTCCAGCTCTGGGGTCGGAGCCCCGCACGGAAGCAGCCTGCTGTCAGTGCTCCCCCAGCCATGTGCCGAGAGCAGGCTGGACCGCTGTGCGCATCTGTGCCTCTGGGAGGAGAGTCTGGGACCAGTGGGGTGGCATTTCACGAGTGTGAGCTGGTGTGGATTTGTGTGTAGGAGCTTAGCAGAGAGGGAGCTCCCACGTGGCTGTGCACCCCGATGTGAAATGAACCTGGGCCGCCAGGAGAGGGGACCTTGGCTGGGAGGTGCCCCTGAGGGCCTGGGTCCTGCTCTGTGCAAGCTGGCAAGGGGCTTTCCAAAGCCAGCGTTGACGGAACAAGACTTTTGCCTTTGGAGCCAATTTTGGGGCCTAACTCAGGATGAGAGGTAAAAGCGGTAAAAGTGGTAAAAAGCTCTAGGGTGAGGAATGGGCGAGGATGTCAAGTGGCCCCCAGACCCGGCAGCTGCGGGCCCCATAGAGGTCATAGTTCAGACAAAGGCAGGCACTCCAGCTGCTTTGCAGTGGGCGGCAGCCTCATAGGGCCTCAGACCCAGAGGCCATAAGGATACGCAGATCTACGGAAGGCTTGCATGCTTAGTAAAGGGAGTTTGCGGACCAGTTTCTAGAAGGCTGCATCCGTGGCTGTGGGCCCCATGGCCCCTGCCCCCTGCCCCCAGACCTGCACTCAGTGCCTGGGCAGGGAGGGAGGGAGGGCGGGACAGCAAGCTAGGGCTGGCCCAGTCAGTCCCCCTGTGGGCCTGGCCTTCGAAGCCGCCGCGGGTGCAGCTCCGAGAGCAGCTCACAGACGCTCAGGTGTAGGTTCCCCACCCCAAGGGGCTTGCCCCATGGGCGTCCAGGACCTCAGGCGGCCCCCGCTTTCCCGCAGGACGTGTTTGAGATGCGGTTTGCCAAGATGCCGGATGAGCCAGTGGAGGCGCCGGCTCTGCCTGCCCCCGCGGCCCCCGTGCTGAGCAAGGGCGCTGAGAGCAGCCGCAGCAGTGAGGAGAGCTCCTCGGACTCGGGCAGCTCGGACTCGGAGGAGGAGCGGGCCACCCGGCTGGCCGAGCTGCAGGAACAGGTGTGCCATGGGGCCGGGCCGCCCTGGGCCGGGACCCGGGGGGGCGTCCGCTCCGAGGGCCCCTCGGCAGCGCTAGAGGCCAGGGTCATGCCAGGCTGCCGTGTGGTGCCTCGCCCGCTGTGGAAGGGTCTCGCGGGCGCCGGCTCCGGCCTCCCGACGGGGAGGAGAGAGCAGAGTAGAGATGGCCCCGCTGTCAGCGGCAGGGGGCTGGTGTTTGACTTTGGGCTGAGCCTCGTTAGAGGTGACGCCACAGGGAAGGTGGCCCTCGGTGTAGCCACCTGGCGGCCCCAGGATCTGTGACCCCGTTTCCTCCCCTGTGAGGTGCAGCTCACGGCCCTCGCGGGGGTCGCTGAAATGAAAAGTACGTAAAACGCTTAGCACACTACCAGGTATGTATCGACTCGGGGTAAACCTCAGCTGCTGGCCCTGGATCGTTTTAATCCTGTCTATCTGCCGTATGGCATGCAGATGGCTTCTAAAGGTAGCTATTGAAAATCTCCTTTGTACAGACATACAAACCTCTGTGCAGAGTTGTCTCTAAGTGGTGAGGAAGTTGTTGCCGTGCCCCCTGTCCTGGCCTGAGGGCGCCACCGGGCCCATCGGTCAGCCTCCGGGCCTGTGAGCGGTGCCTCAGGTGGGGCCGGCGAGGCCCCGAAGCTCTCCAGCGCGCACAGGGGTCGTGAGGGCAGAGGGGGCCTTTGATGCCGTCTGCTCCTGGCTCACCTCCCCGCGTGTTTGAGGTAGCTCCCAGGGCACCCCGAGGCCCCCGTGGGCCAGTCCCCGGGGAGCCCTGCTCAGCTGCCTGCTCTTTTCCAGCTGAAGGCTGTGCACGAGCAGCTGGCCGCCCTGTCGCAGGCCCCGGTGAACAAGCCAAAGAGGAAGAAGGAGAAGAAGGAGAAGGAGAAGAAGAAGAAGGACAAGGACAAGGACAAGGAGAGGCACAAGACAAAGTCCGAGGACGAGAAGAAGGCCAAGGTGGCCCCACCCGCCAAGCAGGCCCAACCGAAGAAGGCTCCCACCAAGAAGGCCAGTAGCACGGCCACGGCCAGCAGGTGGGCTGTGGCGCCCTTCAGGCCCCTGCAAGCCCAGTGTTGCTAGGTGTCCTAGGTGCTTGTATGGCAGGAAGGGTACCGGATTTGGGCCTTCACACCTTGGCTGCAAATCCTGGTGACACGGAGACGGGGCTGGTACATGGGAAACGGGATGGGGGCAGGGTGGTCCTTGTCCCCGAGAGTAGGGGGACAAAATGAGGCCTCTGCTGGGAAGACTGAGCTCTGGAGGGTGTCACTCGGCTGTCTATGGGGTTAGCCTCTCGATCTCAGGCACTGGAATGGCCGCACTGTCTGGCACAGACTTCAGCATCTCAAGTCTTTGGGGCTGTTTTCCTGATTTGAGCCAAGGAGTCCTAGGGGCATTGTGCCTTGGTACGGTTTTCTCCTTCCTGGTCCACCTGCCTTCTGTCTTCACTCCTACCGTGCACTGCCCTGAGGAATGCTTGCCACGGACAGGACCACAGGGAGATGAGGATGGGGGAAGGTGCTCAGGGCCAGCGGGCCTCTCCTGCAAGGTAGAAGGAAGGCTTCCCAGAGGAGGAGTGACTGCTGTGCAGGAGCAAGCTGAGCAGCAGTCGGGAGAGGGTTCCGAGAGTCAGAACAGCGGAGACAAGGCCATGGAGGCCAGCAGACGTGGTCTAGGAATTAGTGGGAATTAGGACAAGGTTGGTTACACTGAGGAATGGAGACTGGTTTGGGAAGAGGAGTCAGGAGAGGCTGCTGAGATTGGCCAACTTTGCTGAGGCCTCTCGTTTTATCCTCTGAGCAAATGAAGGGACGTCATGAGGTGTTTGAGCTGGAAGTGGTCAGATCCTGGACAGTGTGGAGAATGGATCATTGGGACGCAGGACTGGGAGAAAGGACAGCCTGGGGAGGTTTTGTGGTCATGCAGGCAAGAGAGGCCAGGGTGGCCATGGAGGTGGGAGGCAGAGGGACAGGCCTTGGTGCCTGGAAGCAGGAGGACAGGGGCATGGGAAACGGGGTTTGGGCCTTGGCAGCTGGGTAGGTAGTCAGCTGCATTAGCGAGGGGTAGTGGTGGGAATGCTCGTGTTTTGTCTTCCCTCCCTTTTCAGAGGGGAGGCAGGAGTCAGGTTTTTTTGTAATGTCTGTATGGATTTGGTGTCCGTATGACACTGGCCTCAAAAATGAATTGGGAGGTGTTCTCTCCTCTATTTTCTGGGTGGATTTATAGAGTTGGTGTTAATTCTTAAATACTAAGTAGAATTCTCCAGTGAAAGCATCTGGGCCTGGGGTTTTCATTGTGAGGCTTTTAACGATGAATTCAGTTATTTTTGTAGATACAGGACTAGTCAGATTATCAGTTTCATCTTGAGTGAGTTTTGGGGGTTTGTGCTTTCGAGACATTGCTCCATTTCACTTGAAATGTGGAATTTATGGGCATTGGTTTGTTTGCAGTGTGCCCTTATGGTCCTTTTAACATCTGTAGGGCCTGTAGTGATGTGTCTTTTGTCTTTTTTTCATGGTGAATCTGAAGAGAGATTGATGAGTTTTATTGGTTGTTGAAGCAACCAGCATTTGATGTCATTGGGTTTTATCTGCTTTTACTTCCTTTTGTTTATGGTCTTATTTTTATTACTTCCTTTTGCTTGTTTTGGACTTAATTTGCTCTCTTAAAGTAGAAACTTAGATTATTGATTTGAGACCTTTTCTAACATAAATATTTAATACTATTTATTTCTGTCTAAACACTACTTCAGCTGTACTCCATAAATTTGATATGTATGATTTCATTTAGTTTAAAATATTTTCTAATTTCCCTTCAGACTTCCTCTTTGACCATGGGTTATTTAGAAGTATGTTGTTATTTAGAAGTACATTGTTTAATTTCCAAGTATTTGGAGATCTTTTTCTGGACATGGTTCAGTTATTGGTTTCTGGCTTAATTCCTTTAGGGTCAGAGAACATACTTTGTGTGATCTCAATACTTTTGTTAAGATTTAATTTATGGCTGGGAACTGGGGAACGTTCCATGTGGACTTGAATATGTGTTCTCCTGCTGTTGGGTTGTTACCTGAATGTCAGGGGGAAAAACAACAATAACAACAAACACCCCCACCCCACCCTAGAAACGTGGCAGTTAGGTTAATTTGGTTGATGGTGTTCTTGGGGTCTTTTGTCTTCTTGATGATTGCTTTATTAATCACTGGGAGAGAGAATCGTTAGATCCCCTGCTGTAATTGTGGATGTTTCTACGAACCTCCCTTTGGTTCTATCAGTTTTGCTTTATACATTCTAAAGCTTGGTTTTTAGATGCACACACATTGAGGGCTATGATGTCTTCTTGGTCAGTCGATCCTTTTCTCACTATGCCATGTCCCTCTTCTTCCTGACACTATTCCTGTTTCTGAAGTCTCCACTGTCTGAAGCTAACAGAGCCACTGCAGCTTTCTTTCGGTTAATGTTTGCGTGGTGTAGTCCCCCCATCTCTTTACTTTTAACCTACTTCTGTCGTTGTATTTAACGTGGGATTGGTGGACCACATGTAAGTCAATTTTGTTTCTTATCCAGTCTATGTCTTTTAGTTGGTGTGTTTAGACTACTTATATTTAACGTAATGATTGATAAAATTGCATTTCGGTCTGCCATTCCATTATTTTCTGTCTTCCCTGTGGTTTTTATTTCTCTGTCCCCCTTTTCTGCCTCCCTTTTGGATTGTTTGAATATGGAGGTCAGTTCTTGACCTGCTGAATCTGAGATGCCTGTGTGGTGTTGAGGGGAGCTGACCACTACAGTCTTTCCTGGCTCAGGCCGGGAAACCCCCAAGTTGGGAGCAGATTGTGCTCTGACCTCTGAAACAGGGTCTTCTATGTCCCTGCAGACACATATGCAGCCCTCAGTCCACCTGGCCTCTCTGCCCAGGGCACCACTTAGGGCTTGCCTCTTGTTAAAGAGCCTGGTTCTAGAGAGGAAAAAGGCCAGACAGAACAGGCAAGGGGCAGGGGCTCCGTGGGGCTGAGGGGACATGGACTGGGGGCTGCACAGGGGCTGGAGGGACATGGACTGGGGGCTCCACAGGTGTCGGGAGGACAATGGGCAGGGGTTCCACAGGGGCTGGGGGGCCATGGACTGGGGTCTCTGCGGGGGCTAGGGGGGCTATGGGCTGGGGGCTGCGTATGGGCTGGGGGCTGCGTATGGGCTGGGGGCTCCGTGGGGGCTGGGGTACAGGGGCTGGGGGCTCCGCGGGGGCTGGGGGGATAGGGCCTGGGGGCTCCACAGGGGCTGGGGTGCCATGAGCTGGGGGCTCCATGGGGGCTGGGGGGTCCATGGGGCCTGAGGGGGCCATGGGCTGGGGGCTCCACGGGGGCTGGGGGGCCATGGGCAGGGGGCTCCACGGGGGCTGGGGGGACAGCGGCAGGGCCTCTGTGCCATGGTGTTCTTTGCCTTGTGCCTCAGGCAGCCGAAGAAGGGTGGCAAGCAGGCATCAGCCTCCTACGACTCGGAGGAGGAGGAAGAGGGCCTGCCCATGAGCTACGACGAGAAGCGCCAGCTCAGCCTGGACATCAACCGGCTGCCCGGGGAGAAGCTGGGCCGGGTGGTACACATCATCCAGTCCCGGGAGCCCTCGCTCAGGGACTCCAATCCTGACGAGATAGAGATTGACTTTGAGACTCTGAAACCCACCACTTTGCGGGAGCTAGAGAGATACGTCAAGTCTTGTTTACAGAAGAAGCAAAGGAAGCCATTGTGTAAGTTGTGGGGCAGAGCACCATGCTCGCCGTCCCTGCCTCACCCCTGCCTCCCCTCCTCCCCTCCCCTGCAGGCCTGGGGTGTGGGGGAAGCCAGGCAGTGGGGTGGGCCACTCTCCCTGCCCGTTCCCACCATGTGCCCAGCCGGGCCCTTCTTCCCTGTGCTTGGGCGGGTGGGCAGCGCTTGCATGCCTTGGCCGACACCAGGACAGGCAGGGGCCCTGGGTCGGCCCCCAGCCCCCGTTCATTCAGGTGCCAGTGACGCTGAGGCTCCCTTTGGGACCACGGTTGTAGGTGACCTCTCAGTGGTTCCCTAGCCAGGGTAGGCCAGTTCCCTTTTGCTTGGAGTTGAGGGTCCAGAGACCTCCCAGGACGGACATGGGCACTGGCCCGGGCTCGTCCTGGAAGTCAGCAACTTTACTGGATGGGGACGAGGCACTGCCTGGGGCAGCGGGTCCTGGGCAGTGAGGGGCAGGGCAGGCCCGAGGCAGCCCCGCAGCTGTAGGATCGCTGGGCAGTGGCCCCAGGGAACACCCGGGGTGCACCTAGACCTGCGTGTGGCCCTCAGTGGGCTTTCTCCCTCACTCTGAGGGGTTACTTGCTTCCTCCTGGATGGAGTCACGTGACCCCCGCTGTCTGGCATAGCTGGCCCTTGGTAAGTTCTTCTGGGACTCCGAGGTGGTGGCACAGGCGGTGGAGGCCTCCCTGCTGAGGCTGAGCCGGATCCGTGCTGGAGAACGGCGAGTCGGAGGGTCCGCGTCAGGTCTCGACTCCGCCCTCTGCGCAGGGGTGACTGTGTCGCCGAGCCGCCCATGCCCCATCTGTGCACTGTGTGGAGTGGGGAAGGTGTGAGGGTCACAGAAAAGGCTCTGCCGGTGGCAAGGGTTCGTGTCGCCCGTCCGGGAGCTCGGGTGGCAGCCCTGCGGGGGCCCAGCACACGTGAGCATCCAGGAGGGCGGGTGGCGCCTGCAGTGGCCGCCGGCCGGCTCAGCTCTGTGCTCCTTTACAGCCACGAGCGGGAAGAAGCAGGCGGCCAAGTCGAAGGAGGAGTTAGCTCAGGAAAAGAAGAAGGAGTTAGAGAAGCGGCTGCAGGACGTCAGCGGGCAGCTGAACAACAACAAGAAGCCCGCCAAGAAAGGTACCTGTCTGTGGGCCACGCTGCTGCCCCTGCTGCGGTCCTCTGGCCAGAGGGGAGGGTTGGCGGGGGGGGAGTGGCCAGCAGACCCAGGCTTCAGTCTGTGGCTCGACCAGCTCTGGAGCCGTGTGTCCTTAGATGACACTGTTGACCTCCTCAAACCCCAAGTCCCTTGTCTGTAACCTGGGGACCCGAGCCCTGCTCCTGCAGGGAGGTCAAGCACATGCAAGTGTGAGAGTGCCCCATGCCAGAACCTCCCGGAGAGGACTCTCTGGAAGGGCCTAGCTGTGGTCTTTGGGGGTGGACCCCATGGCTTGAGAGGGACTGGGGTCCTGGCCCCTGGCAGCAAGCTTTCTGGCCGTCCACAGGCAGGAGACAGGCTCCAACTCCCTGCCTCTGGGTCCTGTGCTTTGTGGACAGCGGGGTCTTATTTTAGGTGAGCAGGTGATTTGACTGCTTATCTCTTTCCTCTGGAGCCTATAAGAAAGGGCAGATCCCTTTCTCCCAGCCCCGGGGATGGGGGGCCCCAGGTAGTGAGTGGTCAGAGTCCACGATCATGTGGCAGCTGGGTGCCGCCGTTGGCCTTGCCCACTCCCTCTGAAGGTGGGGCGGGTCCCCTCAGGTCTCCCCTGGGAAGGACAGAGTAGGTGCCACGTGACTGACGGCTATCTGTGAACTGCTGACCTGCCCCCACACCCCATTAGTTCCTCCTGGTGGACTGCATTCGTGTTTTCTAGACTGGCATATTTCGATAGTTTTGTGGCCCTCTGAGCTATTTTTACTCACACTTCTGACACCAGGTGTGTGGGCTTGTGCCCACACCAGGTCTGCCATCCCAGCTCCAGGTGGGGTCCGGCAATTCAGTTCCCTTCGGACACTATTTACTTAGGGTTAGCTCAGAGCCCACAGGTGGGGGGCTGCCCTCCACAAGACCGCCCTTCTCTCTGATGCCAGGTGCGAGTCCTGGGCCTGCCTTACCCCTGCCTGGCAGGCTGTACACTGGGGCTCCCGTGACCCTTTGCTCAGACACGACAGTTTGTTAGAAAGAGCTTTTTCTAGATGTATAGTTTATTGTAAAGGGTACAGCTCAGGAGCAGCCAAATGGAAGAGATGCGCAGGGAGAGAGGCATGGCAGGGGCATGCGGCGTCCCTCCCCTCTTGGGCATGCCACCCTCCCTGCACCCCCACGTGCCCCCAACCCTGGAAGCTCTCAGCATCGAGAGTGTTCTAGCACTCCATCCGCAGCAGCCTCCCTTCCCCGGAGCTCCCAGCCCCGATCCCGCGGTTTTCCCGGTGACCGGCCGTCCCCCGAGTCACTCATGAGCATACGCTTAGGTGTGATCCACGGGGGGCTCCTTGTAAATGACCAAAAGACATTCTCACCCCTCGGCGGGGATGCCAAGGGTTTTCAGAGCTCTGTGCCTGGAACCCAGACAGAGGCCAAACGCGTTTCTTAGTGTCCCGTCACCTCGTTAGTGTAGGTGTTCATTCCGGCACATATTTGTTAATACTGACAGGGCTGCTGGGCGAAGAGACGGGTGGGCCGCGGCACGGGCGAGTGCAGGGGCGTGGGGGGCGTGGGGGCGCCTCTCACCTGCTGCGTCTCCCTCAGAGAAAGCGGGCTCCGCGCCCTCGGGCGGCCCGTCCCGGCTCAGCAGCAGCAGCTCCTCCGGCTCTGGGAGCAGCAGCTCCAGCGGGTCCAGCTCCGACAGCAGCGACTCGGAATGAGCCCTGGACGCGGAGCAGAACCCGGACAGCGATGTCGCCCACGCCCAGACTGCAGTGGTCCCTCCGATGGTTAATATACTGCTTTCCTTCCACGCTGTGCAGGTTTCCTTGTTAACTCAGTGTTATGGTATCTTCCAGTTTTTGCTTTAATAGGTCAGAGCTCTTTCTCGTGTGTCCGTGAGGCTTTATGAGGAGGTGCGAGCCCGCATAAAGTCTTTTCTTCGTAACTGAGTCCAGTTGCTTGGAGATGGCAACTTCCAGCGCTGACCTGATGACCGTAGAAAAACAGTGTCAGATGTGATCTGAAGTCTCTTAGGCCCGACCTGGTCTGTAGCTCCAGAAGGAATTGTTGCAAAGGAAGTTTCTCTGAGATGGTACTGTACTGAAGGCTGTCAGCTTTGCCAACAGGCCTCGTCTCTGTCCCTCGGCCCCGAGCTCGGCCCCGGGGCCGGCCGGCTCGCCTCTGGCTGCGGGGGGGCCGCGGGGGGTTGCGCTGCGGCCACGGGCTCCGGTCTGGGCTTCTGCAGGGGAGGGTGGGGAGAGCTGGGTGGGCGCGGAGGGAGGGGCGCCGGGAGCTCCCAGGAGGGAACACGGGGGCCGCGCGTGCCGCGCGCAGCTTTCCATACACTGAAACTTTTACCTCAACTTAAAAAAAAGAAAAAAAGGAAAAAAAAGAGAAAAGATTAAAAAAACAAAAACAAAAAACAAAAGGAGACTTTTTTGTAAGGTTCAGCCGTTTTCTACGAAGTCCAGCCCAACGTGTGTCCCCAGCTCGTGAGCTGCCGCTGCCGCACACCCGGGAGCTCTTTTCCCAGTTTCGTGTATATATGAACACTTTATTTATTAACATCATTGGTCATTTTTTTTTAAAAAAAAAGAAAAACAAAACTGCAAAGAAACGCATTAAAAAAAGCAGCAGACGTGCAGGCCTCTCAGAGTGGTTCGCAGGAGAGCCGCGGCCCTGCCCGGATGGCGGACTGTGGCCTCCAGGTGCTGGCCTCCCACCACTCGCGCTGGTGCTCAACCCCGGCCGCGCGCCCGCCCCCCGGCCCCCCCGCGGGGCTCGGGCCTGCCCCCCGTGTGCGCGTGTGGGTTTGGAGACGTACAGGCGTAGACAGCCGCCAGCTGCAGCACATTCTCAGTCTTCGTTCTGTGTGTTGGGTTCTTTTGTACTCACTTCTGGTCTCTCTAGGACTGTTTTAAAAGAAATCAATTTAGGGAACCCCAGTTATATAATATAAACTTTGTAATCTGAGAGAAAAAAAATGTATAGTAAATCTAAGTCTTGATTTTTAACTTTCTATTGTAAAAAAAAAAATAATAATAATATACAGAGTTTAACAGAAGGTTATGTTTTGGTTTTGTTTTTCCCAGAGGCTGCCCCGCGGCCTTTGAGTGCAGGGACGCCCCACACGGCCCGCCTGAGCTCGGAGCATTGTGGCTTCGGCCTCGAGTGCCAGGGGCCGGCCGTCCAGGCCCCCCCGTGGGGCGCCCCTCACCTCCCAGCCCCGAGGGCAGGGGCCGTGGGGCTGTGGGGCCGGAGGAGCCTCTGGCCGCAGGAGGGTTTGCTCCTCAAAGGCCACGCCGGGCTCCCTGCTCGAGCATTTTCCCGCTAGCACAGAAATGACTGAGATAGGGCATTCTCCCAGACCTCCCTAGGAGGTGGGTGCTGGGGGCGGAGCTGCGGGTGCCCTGCCTCGGGTCTGGTGGCGAGTTTCCAGGCGGACGGGGGGACTGGTCATCAGTATCCGAGGAGGGGGGCAGTCTTTACAAATCCTAAGATGGATTCAGGTTCCACCGGCCCTTATGGTCACAGATGCCCTTGCCGGACGCGGCACTGATGAGGCGGTGGGTGGTGGGTTACCATGTTTCTTACTGCTGGTGATTCTGACGCTTGGTGAGTTTTGAGCCAGTTTGTTAAACTTTTCATTAAGTTTTGTTTATAATAAAAATATATGTGGATTTTTCAACTTGCCATTTTTTAGAGTTACCCTTGTGTTTCAGAGGTGTTTTCTAAGCAGATCTGTAACGGAATATTTAAACTAGGACTTTAATACATGACACGATGGATGGTCTTAAAGCAGGATCTCTCTGGCAACGTGCAGCAAGCGCGCCTCCCCGAGCAGAGGGTGCTGGGGGGCGCGTGGGGGGCTCCCATGGAGCACCTGTCCAGCTGCGGGCATGGTGGGGGGTGGTCGCCTGTGTGAGCCGTCAGGTCGGGGAGCGTGTGGTCCTCGAGCCCGGCACAGTGCAGGCATTTCAGAACACTTCACTGTCCGCTGGCTCTGCGGGAGACATGGGTCCTGGATCACCTCTGCCCCTTTCCCCTGCCCCCAGGAGGAGGCCGCCATGCGCAGAGGGCTGCCGTCCATCCTGAGCAGTGTAGTTCAATGGTGCTGTGGTTTCTTAAGGCTTCCTGTGCAGACTTCAAAGCCGAGTTCTCTTCTGAGTTTGGGGGAACGTCCTCAGCCCCCTCGAGGTCAGCCTGTGGGTGTTTGCCATCTCCACGTCTCTCTGTGTCGGGGAGACCGCAGCTGGACAGGCAGGGCTGTCGTGTCACGGAGAACCTGAGGGCAGATTTCACGGCCTCTTCTCGAGGGGGAAGGAACCATGTGGTTAGGAGGTTGGCCTCACGGGAGCCCCGGAGGCCCAGGGGGCAGAGACCCGTGCTCATGCTGGGCGGCGTCACCTTGCTTACAAACTGTAAGATATGTTTTCTTTTCGTTTCTCTTTTTGTTCTTATGCAACATCCACGTCTGTGACAGCCCTCTGGGGAGAACAGCACCCAGAGAAAGGATGCGTTCCCCCCCCCCCAGTGTAGCCTGTTTCTCAATACTGGCATCACGCTTCCAGAAGTTTTTCTTTTTTATATTTAAATTGTTACTTTTCTGTATGATGTGCATGCAAGTTTACCGTAACTTTTCTTAAACTTTTTAGTGCCGTTTCTAGTATATTCCTGTAAATGTCAGTTACTGAAAATGAGTCCAATGTAAGTAGTTTTAGCTTGTTTATTGCAATGCTGGCCTCCACACAACAGAATAAAAATGGTAGAAAGTACTCTTTGATGTTTCTGGTAATCATGGACCCTTCTCCTGGGGCATTTGTTTTGTTTTCATAATAAAACCAAAAAAAAAAAGGTGCCTGTATGTGCCTTTGCCTGTGCTTTCTGGTGGCTCCCAGCCCCGCGGGTGCGCGTGTGGAGATGCTCTGAAGCTTACACCCTGGAACGCTCGGCCGTCGAAGTAGCTCTGGTCCTCAGCCTGGGCAGGAGGCACCTGGATTTGGGGGACATCACTGTAGCCTTTCTTTTCCGCTAACTGTTCTCTAGAACAAGCGGCCCTCTTCATAGAAGCACAACCTCGGTCACATTGCGGTCTTCGCTCGCTCTTCCTCCTCTCTGGGCAGATGCCTCCCTGCGCTCCGGCCGCGCTGGGGCACGTTCCGGGGCGGGTTCCCGGACGGCAGGCAGCAGACACTGTCCTGCTGGCACAGTCTCCCGTCTGCTGAAGTCTTCCAGCACTCAGCGCAGAGCCCGGCACGGAGGAGAGGCTTCTGCGAGCCATAGACGGCAGATGGGCGCCTCTGACACTGTTTTCTGAGCAGTCCTGGCTGTTAGCGCCTGGCCTTGCAGAGCCGTCCTGGGGAGAGGTTCTCGATGGCACCCTCCCCCCACAGCCCCCGCCCCCCGGCTGTCAGCAGGCACCCTTCCAGCATCCCCTCAGCACGTGCCATCCTTGTGCAGACTCTTCCCCACCTCATCCAGACTGACCTCCCCAAGGACGGGGACTGGGCCGTGTCCACTTCGGTGGCTCCAGCCCCGGCCGGGGAAACCAGCCGCCTGGGCTCCCCTTTGGCAGATGGTGGCTTCCTAGGCTCTGAGCAGCGTAGCACCTGCTGTCGTATGGGCGGCCAGTGCACGTCGGTCACCTGCACACCCTGACCTATGCAGACCTCGGCCGTGGCCAGTGCTTGTCTTCCCAGGTGCTTTCCGTGCCTGGGGTCAGACTAACTGCCCCCCGTACTCAGGTTAATCTGAGGCTCACATCAACATACAGCAAAGGCATTCCAGACGAGTCTCTGCAGTTTGCTTTCTTCCCAAGCAGGACTTAGACTGAACTGCAAAGATGTTGAGCAAACGATCTACCGGGTGATCCCAGTGTCAGGGCTGCTGGGCAAGCAGGCCCTTACGGCAGATCTTACTCGGTGTAGATGGGGCCAGCTTCCCTCTTCAACTCCGGGAGGAGATTGAGGAAACGTGACTTTAAGCCTCCTGACCCACACAGCAGGCAAGCCGAGGATCCATCACTAAGGCCTAGCCTCTGGCTGGACGTTTTGACATTTGGGGAACGTGCTCTGACCCAGAGTTCCACTTCCGGGATGCTTGCTGATGAACTTGCACACCCACAAAAAGATCCACGTCCGACGAGGCTCACGGCATGCTGTGTGCAGGGCAGCAACGGGAAGTATCTCTGCCCTCCTGTGGGCTCATGGGAGTGCTGCCGGTCAGACATTCAAAGCATGACGTAGATGTCCGTCTGGACGGCTGGGCAAGAGGAAACCTCCAGGACGAGATGCGCAGTGCAGGCCGTGCCTTCAGAACCGTGCACGGTTGCACACGCAGAGCTGCTGCTCGTGGTCGTCTGCGCAGGACACTTTTGCTGTGCTTTATGCATTTCTGTAATGGGGTTTGTAGCAATCATTAGATTCTCCTGTTACTGAAAAAAACCTGAAGCCAACTCAACGTATTCTGAACAAACAGGTAAAAGAGTGGGGAAGGAAGGAGTGTCCCAAAGCATATTTATTTAGAAAAATCAGCTCTGACAAAAGATACTCCCACATTTGCAAAGCCACGCAGACCAGTTACAGCGGACCGCACATCCTTTGCAAATGCCTCCCAAGAACTGCCCTCACGGGGGCGCCACAGGGCCGACGGGCTGCCGCCTCCCCGCAGAGGCCCAGCCTGCCCTTTGCAGCCCTGAGATTCTGTCCGAAATCTCCGTAAGCAGCGGACGCGGAACTTAAGGATAACTCTTGGTTTCTGGAATGTTTGTGGGTGCCCTGGCATGCTCGCCCTCGAGTACGTGGAAGCTGGCGTAGAAGCTGCCGCCGTGCACTGCACGGGACGCCGGTTCCTCGTCGCCGAAGGCCCCGCCGCGGGGCTGCTGCTGGCCGCTGACCCCGCCTGGCCCCGCACGCGATGCTCGGCCGGGCCTGACGCGAACTCCTTCACCTTCTTCTAGATCTGTCCCGTTCTTTACCAGGCAGAAGGGAATACTGGAAACGACCTGGAAAGTTCTGAAAAGGTTGTGTGAAGACCCTCTTGCTGGGTCTGCTTGGAAACCTAAGAGAAAAGCCGCGTCTCCGGCGCGCTGGCAGGGCTGGCAGCGAGCCCGGAGCCGGGTCCGCCGGCCGCGTGATGCGTGGAGACGGCTTGGGAGCCCCGGCGGGCATTCTTGGGCTCTAGAAGCGCAGCTGGGGCTTCGCGTCCACTCTCCAGAATCTCCCAGTAAGGCCTGGAAACCGCCAAGGCCACTCCGGGAGGGAAGCGTGGCCTGATCGCCGCACAGCTCAGCGCCTGGGCCCGGGTGTCCCACCGGGAATTACATGATTGCACAGAACTTGGACTGGCCCGTGTCCCGGGACACTCCGAGCTTGTGTCTGTCCCGGACCAGGATGGCCTCGTTTCCGTACTGCGAGTACCACATGCTGCGGCTCCGGCTCAGGTAGGTGCCACGGGGCGCCGACTCCAGCTGCTGCTGCTGCTGCCGCCAGATGAGCAGGGAGGCGTCCCGGTACCGGAGCCGGGCGTAGCTCTCCGACAGAGCTTTCTCCGCCAGCGGCACGCGGCCGCTCATCCCTGGCCCGCAGCTCCCCGCGCCTGGGCGCCCGCGCGCCGGGCCTCGCGGAGCCAGTCCTGGGCGTGCGCAGCCGCCCACTGCTCTGCACGTCGGGCACTCATCAACCACCTCGGCAGCCCTCGGCTCTGACGGTTCCTTACTTAGCTCAGTGGTAAAAAGCACGAATTCGGGCCACGCTTAGGCAACACCCTCAGGAGGGATGCAATGCGAGGGAACTTGAGAGGAGCCTCGGGGCGCTGTCAAGACCTGAGAACCAGCGAGCGGCACAGGGGCGCCCTGGACCGCGCTTTATCAGATGTCCAGCCGCCAGGGACTAGGCTCCCAGCTGGGGAGGCCTGGCCGGTGTCCACTGCGATTCCGACACCACGGCTCGGCCCACTTAACTTATGTATCTGGTGCCCTGCCTGAGATGACCTCGTACAGCTACACAGATGTTGAGCTCCGTCCCCATAACTGCCCTCCGCTGATCCGTGCTTGGGTCGGCTTCCAGTGCCACGGGGCCTCTCTGATGGAGCCAGTCCTGTGTCCTCAGCTCTCGCCCAGGCAGACACTACAAAGAAATGAACGTGCTGTCAGGGGCGGGGAGACAGCCCAGCGGCAAGGGGAGGCTTTACGGCACAAAATCTCAGCTCTTGGGGTCAGAGCCTCCAACCAAGCTACTGGTGCATGTCACCATTTCAGTTGCTGTCCGGTGACCCAGACCATGAGCCTGCGTTCAAGTGGCAGACCTGTGACGACTCCCAGTGCCTTTATGAACTAACGGGGATACTGGGTAAGCCGCCCGTGGGAGTGCCAGCGTATAGATCTGGGAAATGAAGTCCTAAGAACCCGAGCGGGCACAGGTTTCGGGACTGGTCCGGCAAGCACCCGGCCTGAGAGGGGTTTGCCCAGGCTGCCCGTGCTGAAGGCAGGTCGGTACTCACCCAGCCACCAGGGTCCTGCTTCTGCTCCAGGCAGCTGGGGGGCCCCTGGGCTGGACGGAAAAATGATGTCAGGTGGAAACCAAACAGGGAAGCATCGACTAACCCCCCCCCCCCCGCCCCCCCAAAAAACCGCTTTTCCAGCCGTGCAAGATTGTCCTTCTGCATGGCCGGGCCCGCTCACCCAGCCCCGCCCTCGCTGCTGGCTGCCGCAGATCCTCCCCAACGCCGCGCGGGCGCCCGGGAGCCCTTCACGGCCCCTCTGGTTGCCTCCCCAGCATCCTGGGTCCTCCACCTATCCCTGCCTCGCGCCCAGGGTCTCCCTGTCGCCCTGTCCAGGCCTCCCATTGCCCACCTGCGCCCCCCCGGCGCCTCCCGCCCCAGTCACCGGCGGCCCCATCACCATCTCTCCCCGGCGCCTCCCGCCCCAGTCACCGGCGGCCCCCATCGCCAGGCGCGCTCCCCCCACGGCCTCCCGCCCCAGTCGCCCGCGCCCCCGTGCCGCCGCCCCCCAGCACCTCCCGCCTCCGGTCGCCGGCCGGCGCCCCAGTCGCCCGCGCCGAGGGGCCTCGTAGGGGCCTCGGGGGCGCGCCTCGAAGGGGCCTCGGGGGCGCGCGCACAGCCGGGCGGGGCGCGGGGCGCGGGGCCGGGCGCTGCGGGGCAGGGGCGGAGCCGGTTGGCCCGCGGCCGCGTCTCCATGGCAGCCGCGCAGGCGTGCCCAGCCGAGCGCCGAGTCCGGGCAGGCCAGCAAAACGATCCAGAGGGCGGGAGCGCGCGTCTCCCGGTCCCGCCTCCGTCGCCGTTGGTCCGAGCGTTCACGGACGGTGGTTTCGTACCGCCGCTCGGCTACTTCTGGCAGTGCTGCAGCGTTTGCTGTCCTCATCCCTGCTGCTAAAAATCTGTACATTTTAAAAAGTAATCGTGGGGGATGGGTGTTCAGGGGGGCGCTTGTGATGGGCACTGGGTGTTGCCCGTAAACGATGAATCGCTGAAGTCTACTCCTGAACCCGATACTGCGCTGTAACGTTAACTAAAACCCAAATAAAAATTAAAAAGTAACAATTCGAGTCTGTCCCCTTAGGGCTCTCCCAAAATGATGTCTTGAGCGCCCCTGTCCCCATGCCGTCCCCGAGAATTCCGCACCCCCTCCAGGCATACCAGTAATACCCTCAGGTGGCGTCTGCTCGCTCCCTTTCCGGGTGTATTTCGCGGTCTCCGCAGCATTGATGAAGAAAGTGGTCCAGCAGGGCGTCCGTGGGACGCTGCACCTGCACCCCACCCGCCCCCACCCCTGCCCCGGGAATGCACTCCTCGCACCCACACCGCCCACGCGCGTCCTGCACAAGGGTGCAGAACATTCGGGAAACAGACCATGCGCCAGCGGTGAGTCGGTTTCAACACATTTCCAAGTTCAAGTCATACATAAATAAGGCCGCAGGAAGAATGGTCTGTAAAACAACAATGAAAAGGTAACCAGAAGAAAGCATGTTTTTCATCATTAGGAAACATTTCTAAATTTCTCATGGGTCAAAGAGGAACTCACAATACAAATTGTAAAGTATTTTAATGGAATGAGGATGAAAATACAAGATGTCCGGATCTTGTGGGATGCAGTTAAAATCGTGCCTGGAGGGAAACTGAGAACTCTAAAGGCATACGCTAGGAAATAAACACATATACGTCATATACACAGCGTGTATGGGAACTCTGAAGTACCTTTGCAATCGCTCTGTGAATCTAAAACTTTCCTAAATTAAAAAGTTTATTTCAAAAGTGGGAAAAAAGTTAGCTAACTGGAATTTAAAAAAAAAATAGGTGAAAAGGAAAATCACAGAGATGAGAGGAAATTTGCAATCTATATGTCATCGATAAGGGAAGGGACGTAGGGTCCAGTTCCAAGACAGAGATCCCACCAATGAGTTGACCGGAGAGAAGTTAATGGAAGGGGTTGTTCCAAGGCACAGAGGTTTTTTTTTTTTTTTTTTTTTAAGATTTTATTTATTCATTCATGAGAGACACAGAGAGAGGGGCAGAGGGAGAAGCAGGCTCCCAAGGAGCAGGAAGCCCGATGCGGGACTCGATCCCAGGACCCTGAGATCATGACCTGAGCCGAAGGCAGACGCTTAACCATCTGAGCCACCCAGGTGCCCAGGCACAGAGTTATTAACCAGGTAACTGTCAAGATAAAATAAAAACGTCTAAAGTTTCTCAGAAGTAGTGGCAGCAGGAAGCAACTACCACCTCAAAACCTAAAGGAGCAAAGGAGGGTCCTATTACTGAAAGTACTATTATGGAGACTCTATAAGAATTTAGGAACTCAGAGGAGGGACAGTATGGAGCTGAAACTCAGACTTTTGAGGAGGGGGCACCAGCAGCTTGAGCTGGTGTCTCTGCCCTGAGTGCCCCAGTAGCGGGGGGCCCAGGCCCCGGGAAAGGGACGCCAGCCAGATGCTGCCTCTGGCAACATGATAAAGTGGATTTTGTGCTTGTTGGGAAAACCACAGACTGGATTCAGCAGCTGCTTCAGGGGGAAAAAAAAAGTGAAAAATCTTTGCTGGGGCGTGCACGCTGGCAGGAAGCCCGCAGGAAGCAGAGAGGAAGGAGCAAGTTTGGCCTCCCTCTGCAGTTCCCAGTCTGTCTCCCAGAGCCTACCAGGGAGACTCTGGCAAAGGGACAAATGAGGTTCGCAGAGTCCTGGTCGGAGCATCACAAAGCAGAGCGTAAAGGATGTTTGGATCACGTTTAACGCAAAGGCCGTGGGTGACAGGCCAAAACTACAGAACGGGCACAGTCCCGCCCTTCATTCATTCAGCTGCCCTACACACATTTCTATGCATATTGGAACCCCATACAACAGAAGCAAAACCCCAAAACCTAGCTCCACATGTCTGCCTAAGAAGATGCCACTCTCTTCCATACTAGAGTGAGACAATCTGGCCTCTCCCCAGCTGGAGGAGATGCAAAGTCCAACAGACCTTTCTGATTCGGGTCTCCTTCCGTCTGAATATCCTTCTCCCTGAAACTAAATTGCAAAGTCGCTTCCAACAACACTTCCTGAAAATAATAAAGGGGATGAGGAGATACAAACATACATGCTTAACAGGCAGTGGGGGTGGGGGGACCATGGAGAGCTGCTATGTGCTCGCTCCTGCACAGTCCTTGTCGAGAATTTCTTGCCCTCAGCCGCATCTCAGTTGGGCAAGTTTTTTTTAACTACTGGGGTGACTTATACCTTCATTCCCAAAGGGCATGAACCTTCAATGATCCTATTTATTTATTTTGTGGTAGCTTTCTATTAACTTTTACTTTGGGTGGCAGAAATGCTAAAACGTACCTCAGACAATCCCCCCAGTTCGAGCCTTACTTCTTCCTGCTCTCAGTGTGAAGCAACGACTCACTTTCTCCTTGGTATGAGGGATCCATCACCCCAGCCAGCAAGGTAACCTACTTCTTAGTGTTGGGGCGCCTGGCTGGCTCAGTGAGAAGAGCGAGCGACTCTTGATCTCGGGGTCGGAAATTCGAGCCTCATTGCCGGAGTCCAGCTCCGACGGCGTCGGCGAATGAGGAGACACAGACACAGGATCAGGTTGCAAGCATCTCCTGCTGACAGCCTCGGAGGAACTTTATTTATATGTTAGGATATTTTTGTTTTTCCAAATCTTAGATCATTTTCTGGATTACGGCCATAGCCTTCTTTCATTTTTCCTTTGTAATGATTAACATGACCTTTATTAATTTCCGCTTATTGGCTTTCGCTAAAACTAAAAAACAGTACGCAAAGAGAAAGGTGCTAGACAGAGCGTGACCGTCTTGTTATTTTGTTCTATAGAAACTAATTCTTGCTTAGATAGGCGTAACTAAGATGAGTAGTCACTTTATCATGAAACCCCAGAAATATTCCCACAATTATAAAGATTGCCATAAATAAAATGAAAAAGAATGGCAGGAGCCAGCCCAGAAATATTCCCACAATTATAAAGATTGCCATAAACAAAATGAAAGAGAATAGCAGGAGCCAGCTGTGGAGTCTCCTGTTTTCAGGATCGTCCCCCGTACTTGGACCTTGTCAAACAGCATGAGTAGCTTGGCTCACGCCATCTCCCCCTTCTTTATTTTTGGCCTTCAGTTGCAAAGTCTTCAATTCCAAATGAAATTTGTTTTATTCCTCTACTTAGTAATTTGACGAAGACTGGAAAGAGAAACAAAAGGGAGATAATAATTAGTGCCAATATACCTAGATTGATGAGGGATGGAAACCAGGCAGTAGTGGAGGTATATTTCTGCAAAGTGGCAAGAAAGGAATCTGCAACTTCTGAGGCTGTGGCTGAGGACACATGTGCTAAACTAATGTCTTTAATTTTTTCTTGCAAGGAGTTTAAGTCCAAGGATACATTATCATTGCTCCATATTCCCAATAGGTGATTTTTGACGTTGTCCCAAGGGACAGACGAGGAATCATAATGGTGGGGAGTGACACAGATCCATTTATATTGTGCATGGCATCTAGTGGTTAACCGAGTTTTGAGATTTTGAATTTGATTTCCTACATATAATATAGTTTTCTCTAGAACATTTAATCGTGCCTCAAACTTCTTGTCTATTTGTTCCTGCAAATAAAGTGCAGTTGAAATATTCTGGGTTAATCTATCCACATGATGTGCAGTATATATTTTCTGTACTAAAGCAGTTGTAGATACAGCAAAAGAACTTAGGATTCCTATAAGAGCAGTAATACCTAATATAAGTGCCGCAATAAATCTCTTAGGGCGGCGTAAGGCTTTACCTACAAGCTGAATCGTATACATGCCAGGATCATCATACCAATGTTCTTCTAATTTTGCAGGTAACACTACGTAAGGAGGTTGATGAACAACTATAAAGACAGTTTGTCCAACAGTTGGACCAATGCAATTAGTTAATGTACATTTTGAACAGGATACATAATAGGTATGATTAATCTTGTTTACCTGTAACTGGCCATGACCTTGCACCAAGAGAGCATGAGGGGGACCCACACATGCCGTGACCACCTCCATATGGTCAGGGCGTCTAGGCCTTTTTTAGTTCCTTTAAGACCTTATAAGGGAGTGGTTCCCACTGAGATTCATCCCATTCATCATCAAAAATCACTGGAAAACATTTAAAGGTTAAATCCCCATCTCGCAAGGCCTCCGGCATTGCTCCCTTAAAGCCAATATTCTTAATAGGTGGCAAGGGTTTTTTACGAACTAAGGCCTTGTTCTGTGGAACTTTTAACTGTCTATGTAGATTAATCACAGAGCCGCATTCAGGGGCTGTGGCATTTGCAAAAAGTTCCCAATCTTGTTCATGATATTTAGCAGCCTCCTCCTCAAGGGCTACCTCATCTTCGGAGGACAATTGATCATCTCTCCCTTCAACTCTTTTATTATCTTTGTCCTCATCCTTTGATTTCATTTCATTTATTACCAGTACTTGAGAGGCTGATTTTTGTAATAGAGGTGTCTCTTCAGTGGGGGCAGCGTTATGTGTCTCCCGTAATTTTTTGTGTAAAGCCTGTGAGCTAGGCATAGGATCTAACATATCTCTTAACAATGTCCATAGAGAGAATGCCTCCACGGGTACATTCTCAGGACCGTGGTTAGGATAGTATAACCGCACTTCCTCCCCTATCTTGTTCCATGTTCTAATATCAAGACTACCATCTTTCGGAAACCAAGAGCAACAGGTCTCTACAAAGGTCAAAAATCTAGCCAGTTGAGCATGAATAACCTTAACACCTCTTTTTTCAATCATATGCTTAATAATATCAATAAAGAGTCGTCGTTCCTTTGACTCATTATGGCCCATAGCTTCTCCAAGTTCTGTCTTTCTGCTCACTCTTACTCTGTATTCCTTCACAGAGG